TAAAAAGACAGTATAAGTCATTATAATCCGTAATTATGTCCCCACTGGATGCAACAAATGCCTCGTTTATAATGGGTTTTAATGTTTTTGTCTCGTTGCTCCGGCCGGGACACGGCATCACAGTATGGTAAGGGGCGTAACATTTCCATCACACGCTTGAGGTATTCAGCCAATCACAATGCACTGGATAGTTGGCCAATCAGAGCACACCTCGCTTTTCAGACCGATGAGCTTTGTAAAAATCGACGCGTTTCAGAAAGGCGGGGCATAGAGGAGAAACAATAATGTATAGTACGTGGAAAATAATGTGTTTTTTTAACCTTAAACCGCATAAACACATTTCATTACACCAAATACACAAAATAATGTTATTTTTAGCAACATCATATGACCCCTTTTAAGACATATTTGGTTCATTTTACACTACAGCTGCAATTTAGACCATGGAATATAAGTTTACCCCTCTTAGAAAGAGAAATCTGAGACTAAATGCTTCCTGTATCAAGTTAAATGTTGGGAGGGCATGAAATTGAGGTTCAGGTGAGGTTAGACCAATGTTGACATGCTCTTTGATTAACACATGAAAATATTTGAAAAGTCTCATTCCCAATAATGAAAATTAAATAATATATACCAGCATAGATTGGAATTTATGGACTTATCAGCAGTTCCCATTTTCCGTAACGCACTAGGCAGACTCCCGAGCTCAGACAACTTGATTTATTCTGAAGATACACCTCCATGTATGTGGCAGTAAAAGAAATTAAATCATTATGCTAGACCTTGATTCGGCTGATATGAATTGAAATAAAACCTGCTCATGCCTGCCAAAAATCTTGATTTGGAGTCAGCCAAAAGGGGGTTGGGGGTAAATGTTCAAAAAGAATAGAGCTTGTTTGCTTCAAATGCTTTCTGTGCATCAAATCAATAGTGAATAAATATTGCCGTTGGATTTTTCATTTGGCTTCATCCTTCACCTCAGGCCGTTTTGAAAGATGCATTTGTGTCTTTTCCCAAGGCTAGCTCAACTGTGAACACGACCGATTCTGTATATTTGACATGCATTTATAGCCCATCCTCTCTTGTGGCAGGGCCAACTTTGCAATCATACATAAATATGTACTGATGACATCTTTAAACAAATACTATTGATTAACTATCATTTAAAATGGAATGCATTAACAGATTTTTGGAAAAGTTTGAAGAGAAGAGAATGGTTATGAAAATAAACATACTAGAAACTATATTTCCTGTCATTACCACTACCACTAAAGCAATGTGTGTGTATTGTACCAATATCTTGACTTAATTTTGTTGTTGTTTTATTTTTGCGCATAAACCGTCACCTGAGAGCTAGGCAATAAAGTACAAACTTTGTGCTTAATTAAAATGGGACCGAACGCACAATGGAGTTCTCCTCCACTCCTTGCTTACACCAGACCTGTGTGTGAACGCTGCAATTAATGAATCCGACGCATGAGGATGAATGGATATTAACAGCAGAGAAAAGCCTCACCTCCTGACAGCATCTCGTTTCTGCTCATCGATGCTGTCCCACCATTTTGAAAAATACGAGATCTCAGACCAGATCATTTTTCGCCGACTGTCTTCGTGTAATTTCACCACCATGTTGTTGAGAATGTGTTGCGTCTGGTCTCGATAGTAGTCATCGAATGTCTTCAGCCAGCCTGAGCAGAACAACAAACAAACGTGTCACAGAGGTTGCTGAGATCATGTCACGAACCTACTACAAACTTCGGCTTGATGTTTAAAATGGTTTTACCTCAGAAATGAAAATTCTGTCATAATTTATTCACTCTCATGTTATTCCAAACCATTCATTCTTCTGTGGGACACAAAAGGATATGGTTTAACAGAACGCCCAAGCTATTTAATGGGGGTCACCGTTTACTTTCAATGTACCAAAAAGAGCAGCTTGGATATTCTGCTAAATATATCATTTTATGTTAAATGCAAGAAATTAGTAGTATATTACGCCTTTAAAGGGGTATCAGAATTATGGTATCAGAATATTTTTGGACATGTTATACAAATGTGATCAAAATGATTCAACCCCCCAGAGACAATAACAATTTACAAATGTCAACTTTTCTGAAGATCTGAAGACTTTCTTATAGCATCTATAACAGTTTAATGGCATATTGTCAATATATAATATAATATTTTTGAGTTATATGATTTTTAAGGTTTGGTACAAAATTGTGTTAAAACACAATTAAGCCTTTTGGAAACTCTACAACAAAACTTAACACTGCTACAAATACAAAAGTTCAGCCCATGTATGCGCTAAAATTGAATAGACAAAAATGGCCAAGTGAAAAGAGCTCTCACAAAAGCTATAGAGAAGATTTTTTATTATTACGTTAAAACGTCTATGGCTACAAAAAGACTTTCCAAGAACTAAAAGTTCCTAGAGACACAGCTGGCAGCCTTATTCCTTAGCTTAAAATGTGCTGTACCAGAAAACCTTCGAGGGCATTGAAGAAAAAGCACAATATCATAAAATGTTTGATGAGAGCAACCCCCAAACCCTTATTGCCAAAGACTTGCAAGATGACCTGATGAAAAGAGGAAAAAAAATTTCAATACAGAGTACAAGAAAAAGAACACGAAACAAGCATGGTCTTCATGTCAGGACACCTTACTGAACACCAACCAAGAAGAACATAAATGGTTCAAATAAATTTGGAGAGACCTGTGGAGTTCTGGAAGAATGTTTTATGGAGTGATGTGTCCAAACTTTTTGGACCCATGGATCAGTGGTATGTCTGGTGCAAAAAATGTTTGTTTTTTTTTCCATGTTTGACCATAAGGTTGGATATGTCTTGTTATGGGGGTGTTTCGCTACTGCAGGAAGTGGAAATCTTGATTGTATGAAGGACATCAAGGATTCTTTTAAATATCAGGCTAGTAAAACTATGTTTTAAGGAACAATTTTCACTATTAACTAGTTGCTTATTACTTACTAACTTATTGGCTGTTTATTAATACTTATAAAGCACATATTAATGCCTTATTCTGCATGACCATATTCTAGATCACTTAACCTGACCCAATACCTAAACTTAACAACTACCTTACTATTAATAAGCAGCAAATTAAAAGTTTATTGAGGGAAAACTAACCTAAAGTGTTACCATCAGGCCATTTTGGCAAAGATAGTGATGCCTTTTATGCATAGACTGAAGCTGATGATCTTTGGACTTTCTAGCAGTGCAACCATCCAAAAGTTTAGGGATCGGTCGTAGAATGTTTTTGAGCAGCCTGTTCAGTCTTCAGATTTAAATCTCATTAAAAATATATGTAAGCATTTAGAGCAGTGGCGAAGCATAGGCCCACCCACTTTCAACTGTGGCCCACCCAATGAGAAGTTGGTAATTTTCCAAATGGATGTAATTAATTAAACGATAATAATAATAAACGTCATTCTAACTGTCACTCTAACTTTATATATTTTGTTAAAAAAATATTAAACGCAAGTTGTCATGGTCAATTATAGGCCGTTTCTTATTTTTCCCTCTTCCTATAGGTCTATACCATACGCTTGTCAAAATGATGATTCATCTTCTGTTAGTCCCACCCACAGTGCTATGTTTACGACGTAAGGACATAGTAGTAACATGTGCGCGTTTGTGGAGTTGAATTTGAAAATAGTGAAACAAATATCAAACAGTCAATTCTTTAAAAAGTTTTGGACATACCAGTTGAAACTAAGCCTTTGCAATGAATCCGGACTGTCAACAAATGAAACCAGACCACCTGTGGGTGATGGATATATATATATATCAGAAACGTCTGAGCCAAGCGTGTTTTAAGTATCATATTAACATACTGTAGGTACAGTGTTTGATTCACTAAATAGATGCATCCATGCATAACTACAATACATTTGTTACAATATTTATAAATCTTTTTTAACGTTAGTTAATAAAAATACAACTGTTCATTATTGTTATGTTAGCTCAAGTATGAATGTTAACAGATACAATTTTTAATTTTAATAATTAGTAAATGTTGAAATTAACATTAATGTTAATCAGTGCTTTAGAAGTATTGTGTATTGAACCTTTGTGCTGTATTTTCTGTTGCCAATTTGACATGCAGTTTTCATACGCTACACGTTGCCCACCCACTTAAACATTTCTGGCCTCGCCCCTGATTTATAGACAACATTTATTGGAGGTAATAAAGAACCAAGGATTCTCTACAAAATGTAACTTTTGGGGGTTGGATAAATTTGTACATGAATGAGAGCCAATTTGTTTACTGATGCCTTGGTTTAATTGTTTTCATCAAATGTTGTTCACGGCAACAGAATGTCTTGCAGATCAATAATAATTGCAAAGAATCATTTTGATTGCAACTGTAGTTTATTCTTTGAGGTAACATAAAAATTAATATATGAATATGGTACTCATTCATTGATATATCTCATGGTGTAACCAAACATTACTGTTCAAAACTTTGTTTATGTTTACCAAGGCTTCATTTATTTAATCAAATATATTCTAAAAAACAGTGACATTGTGAAATATCATTATAAAAAATTACTGTTTTTTCTGTTTTAATTTATTCTAAAGTATAATTTATTCCTGTGATGTAAAGCTGAATTTTCAGCATCATTACTCCAGTCTTCAGCGTCACATGATCCTTCAGAAATCATTTTAATATGCTGATTTGGTGTATAAGAAATATTTCTTAGTTGTGCTGCTGAATATTTATGTGGAAACCGCAATACAGTTTTTAAACTGAAAGATCGAAAGAACAGCTTTTTTTTGCACAAAAACTCATCTCTCCCCATCTGAACATGGTAAATTGAAAAAAAATCCAGGCATAGACAATAGGGGTGTCTCCATATTAATACATAATTCATAATTCTGTGGAAAGAGCTATCAGTAAAAGAAGGCAATATATTTTGGTTCAGGGGTTACTTTAGTAAATGTATTTGCACCTCCTGGGAGTAAATTCGTTTTTTTTTTTTGGTAATACAAACTTTTCTCTTAATGTTACAGAGTCAAAAGGAATAATGATATGTGGAGGAGACTTCAATATTGTCCTTAAACAACTATTAGATTCATCCAATAGTAAAAGAATTAAGCCAAAACTATGAAAAAGGTTTAGACATAGAAGGCAAAAAAACTTCATTTTAAGAATCTTGAAGACAATCAGCAACAGCATCTAACAGAACAACATACAATTAGTCAGGATGCTCAGATTCTGAAGCAAATTAAAGATATTAAAAATAAGATGGATGAGCTATATGAGGAGGAGAAGATTAAAGAGGCATTTGAATTGTACACTGTAAAAAATAAGTGTAATTTTAACTGTAAAATTTTGTAAAAACGCTACGGAAAAAAACTGTTAATAGGTTAACAGTAAGTTCCCGTACTATATACAGGGAAAAACTGTAAAATATCTAACCAGACATTTCATGTAATTTTACAGTAAAATGCTGTTACTTTTACAGTTTTTAGAAGAAAAAATAACAAATCAATGTATAATTTACAGTCAAAAACTGTAAACTGATATTCCCAGAATTCCCTGCATGACACTCCACATTTGAAAGTATTTTGTTTAAATAATCATGTTTTTTTAATAGTTTTTGTTATTAGTTATGTATATTTGGGCTTTATGTTACATCTTCTGTTGTTTAATGAAAGTTTAATGCAAGCTGCCAAAATTATTTTGTAAAAACTACAGAATTTTTTTTACAGTGATTATAAATCTCTATATTCTCAACAGACAGGTGAATTGTGCGTCAATTAAAACTTTTTTTAGATTCTCTTGACATTCCTTCTATTGGACAGAAACAAAATAATCTCTTAAAATAAATGACACAAGAAGAAAATAGAGCTTTTAATATAGCTTTATATAATCTGAAGAATAGCAAACACCTCCTCACCCCTTTTTATCACATCATTTAGTTGAACTCTAAAAGAGGCAGTTATTTCTTCTCTTGGAGAGAAACAATCATCTCAGTTATACCTAAAAAGGAGAGTGTAGTTCATTTAGACCCATATCAGTTTTGAATGTAGACTACAAATTGTTTGCCTCTATTTTATGTGGAATCATAATCTACAAATTCTGAAGCAGCAAACTTTGCAAAACACAAAATTTGTCACAACTAGTCGACCAGAAAAAAATGGAAGATGATTTTAATGAAACTGAGCGTTTTCTGTCCCTCTATGAAAGTCCATGCAACAAAAACTCTGAAGATCCTAAAAGGTTATAAAAGTAATTTAATCCAAGTCTTGTGAGGCGATATGATCACTTTATATACGAAGTTCAATTAAAATAATACATTTTACTGATGCACATAAAATACAGTTATGTTTGGAGACGCAAATTCAGATTTTGAAGTAGTGGCACACATTCCAAATAATGGGGTTATTTAGGAATTTCCTCCATTTGCTCAATTATTAAGAATGGCGATATTGAAAGCTTCCAAACTTCCAAAGACAAGTTTGGCCTTGTAAACCAAGTTCTATTTAAATACTTGAAAGAGATAAATGACAATGCTCAGATTAATTAGATCACACAGATTATTATACAGGGACAAAAGAAAGTTACAAATAGGGCAGCATCCGAATTATATAAAGGGGTAAATAATTCTAGGAGACATTCAGCAAGCATAATATATTAGATCAAAATGAGAAAAAGATATATT